GTGAGCAAAAGATCTAAACAACATGCAAAAAAAGGGGGGTTGCCAAACTTTATCTTAAAAGAACAAGCCCTGACAACATAACCACTAATCTCAACATGATAATGCCTAGATTAAATAAATACCAGTCCAAAAATCTGTTTACAAAGAAAAACTCACAAGTCTTAAGACAGTAGGAAAATTTGAAACATAAATACAATCCTCTTGGCATAACAATAACTGTCAATCTAGGATAACAGCCCCTATGCAAAACCTCAATGACAGTTATCACACAAGACTAGCCATGAAGTACAATGATAGCAGGGTGCAAGAATCAAGTAACAAACCAAAGGCTTATGCTCTTGACAACCTTATGCATAAACTCTAAATGCTAGGCAACTCCAAGAATTCAGCAAGTAATAGAAAGCAACATTTCTAAGATCAGAGTATTAAACCTAGGCCTGAAGTTAGCTTTAAGGAAACCATCTAAACAGTAGGTGAAAACAAAATCAGGCCGGCAACATCTCAAGCAGAAAGAGTCAGCAGACTCAAAGGTATGTCAATAAGGATTGACATATCCACACACACACAACTAGCAACATCCTTAAACAAAACTTTAAAGATAGTCATAATTCCAACCATGCTAAACAGGTCCAAGGAGGGACAAAGTCTAAAGTTCATAAATATGAAATACCAAACATGACAATGTTTGAGGTTAAACCAATAAACCTAGGCTTCCCATGTTTGACAGTTTTTTCAAAACAGTTCTGGATGCTAATGAACATAAACTTGACATAACAATGTCAACAATACACCACCTATTTCAATAGTACATATCAACACTTTTACAAAAGCAACAGCCTACACACATATTGCCCTAAGTTGTAATCTAACAGACCTTTATACATCTTAACAAGAATAAAAAAATTCATAACCACAAAACTCTAGCACTAACAGAACAAACATGACAATGTTGTAAAAAAAGCAAGCTTGACATAACAATATCAAATCCATACTTTAAGTGAAAGTTAACAAACTTCGTGACAGTTTTTGACAGCATAGTGCAACTTAAACATAACAATGTTTAATCCAATCAACAAACCAGCCAATACCTACATGATGCACCATAATGAGAAGGTTTTGGATTACATACCTCTTGTAGACCTTCAAAAGAAAGCTAGAAGCAAGAGCAAAGTATCCCTCCCTCCTTTGAGCAAGGCTTTAAAATTTATTCCTTTTGAAGCAACAAGCGGTTTTTTAGGACAGTTTGAGCAAATGGATTTCCATTTGTTTTTTAAGGTTATGGATAGTTAGTATGACATAAATGGAAGATGTTCCAAGTGTTAAAATGGTTCAAACCAATCTAGGTAGTGAGTTCCTCCATATAATGCATAAAAGTCAAACCAAAGAGTGTGAGAAGTTGACTTTTGGTTTTGTGATATTTTTGGTGAAACTAATGGGTTGAACACCTTCTAATAATGATTTTGAGTTTGTGTGGATGGTTTTTATGGTGGTTTAATGGTTAGAAATGATGTTGGTGTGAAACTGGCAACAAGGCAATTTTGGTGGTTTTGTCTTTCCTTACTTACAAGCAAAGCAAGATAGAATGAGAGCTATGATTTTCTCTTGGGCTTAGAGGGCTATGGTGTGATTTTAAGATTGGAATGAAACCTCTTTTTATAGGCCAAGGAAGGTTGGGGCAGAATTGGTATTTAGCCAAGCAAATTGCATTTTGGTGGGAAAAAACTTAGGAGTTTCAAATGGTGCTTTGCATTTTCTGGTTTTAGATTCTTTCCATTGGTTATTATCCTTAATAACAGCTATCTTTGAGCTGGTTGTGCTGACCATATAAGTTCCAAGGCAAGCTCTCTAGCTGCACCAAACCCAATGTTCTCTCTCATATGTACTTTTGTACTTTTTATATTAAACAAATGGATTGTGGATGGATTCTTGGTTTTGCTTTGCTTTCCTTCAGATCTGATTCATTCCTCCCTCTAACACATCACATCAGCTTTTTCTCATGGTTAGAAATGAAATACATGGTTGGAAGCCAAGTCCATGTTGAGTTTTGGCAAGTTGACAAAGTAGTGCACACACCCAACTTGATCAACTCGAAACTCTCAGCTCACAAGGGCTATGGAAGATTTCTAGTACTTTTTAGAAAGCCCTCATGAAGCTCTATAACTTTCATGAGTTTATAATTTTCAAATTCCAAGTGGAACTAGGTCAAAAAACCCCTCAAAGTTGGCTGAAAACATGCCTAAAAAGGCCAACAACTTAGAATTTTTCTCTGTGTTTTCTCCCTCTTGTGATGATTTTGGCTATAACTCCAAATCTATGAATTTTTTGCACATGGACCACTATGAGACTTTTGTAGTACTTGTCAAGACCTTTCCAACAAGCTTTGAACCAACTCAATTGGATGTGTGGTTAGGGAGTTATGGTCTTGCCCCTTTCAAAACCCTAATTTCCCAATTTCTCGATTACTCTTCAATCCTTGATCCAATGATCATGAAACTTCAAGGATAGGTGTAATATGTTACTAGGAACATTTTTGCTTCACACTTTTCGGTCAAATTCCTTATGGTTGAAGAGTTGATTTTTTGGTCAACCGAACGATCGATCGATGACTACTGAGTCGACTGTTGATGTTCCGGGTTCTGAGGCCTGGAAACTTCTTGAGTGGAATCACTAAGCCATATGAACTTCATGGACCATGATCCCACCATTGGAACATCATTTAAATCAAAATTCCAACTACAATTGATTTTTCTTGATCGGAAACCCTAATCGGGGATCCTGAACTGCATTGTCCTTGATCTTTGGGTGACAAACTCAAATTGGATTCATACTTGACCCAATGGAGTATCTTTGGTGATGTGGAGACTTGTTTCATGGAGAATCAATCAAATGCATTGACTGATTAAACCATCGAAACCTCGATTCTTGACTGTACGGAACCCTGATTTGCCCGTATCTTAACAAAGACAAACTTGAAATAGGTTATGGTTAGATAAAATGAAAATGACCCTAGAATGATGATGAAGATCTAAGGGTTCAAAATTTAGGGTGCAACAGTTTCCCCTATTTAAATATTTTCACTAGATAGAAATGAGAGATGACAATCCTCATAGAATCGTAATGAGAGGTATTTAAATATAGCAAACCAGAAATTTTGTCCCTTAGATCTAATGGTATGCAAAAGGAAAAATGCAATATGCAATGAATTCTAAATGATGTTTTATGATGCTTAAATGCAAGACAGATGCAGACACACGAGCAAAAATAAAAGAACCGCAAGACAACGAGTAACTACTCACGTGGGACCCAATACACTAGGGAAAGATCCAAGGCAAAATAAGCAAAATAGTTAATACATGACTAATGATGTTACTCAAGGGGAATCTTTCACACAGGGGACGCAAATTCCACCGGGGAAGACAAATCTTCACTGGGGAAAAGGGAACACACTCCATTGGGGAAGAAATCAACTCTCCACCGGGGAAGCGAAAGATCAGAGACACAAACCTCACTGGTGATAACCAAATGAGGAGTTTCCTATAGCGAAGAGTTCGAACAGGATCTTCAGGAAAGGACTAGAAACAACACCAGGCGCACCGGGGATGCTAGTATCCACTAGATCTCCGAGACTCGAATGGGGAAAGCAACGGCTTCGCTGGGAATACTGTTGACTGTCATACCCCAAATTTGTCCTACCTTTTTTCAAAATTTCTCATTTGCCCGACTTTGTTTTTAATTTACCTCGCTTATACAGCGTAGCGTATTTTTCAGCAAAAGCAGGCATTTTCGCTTTTTTAGCCCAATAAGGGTATGACGTGGCATTTGTTTTTTTTTTATATATACCAATTTTTTTTATATAATTTCATTTTCTCGTGATAGGTTAATATAATGTTTTTTTTTATTTTTTTAATTAGTTTTGAATTAGAAATTAGGATTTAAATTTAATTTTTTTTTAATTATATAAATTTAATTTAGAACTTAATTATAATTTAGAAATTTTAATTTTAAAAAATATTAAAAAAATAGAGTTAGAATTTAATTAGGATTTATTTTAAAAATTTTATTAGAGTTTAATTAATTAGCTTAGATTTAAATTTGTAATTAATGGTTAGAATTAAATTAAATAGGAAAATAGGTTTTTAATTTAGTTTATTATCTCAGAAAAATAAATTAAAAGAAAATAATAAAAAAAGATGAAAATTAATCTGTTTTTGGACACGGTGGATTAGGGTTGGATTTCTTGGGATAAATAGGGTGACCTACTGTTCACCATACCCTAAGAATTAAGGATACTACTGTTCACCAAGCCCTAATTTGGGGCCGCCCCCTTTCAGGAACCCTTCACCACCTTCTTCAACTCTTCATCATCTCGATTCCACCTTTTCTCCTTCACAAGAACGATCCGCCGTCGTTTTTGATTTTCACCATCTTCATCCTCACCCATCATCTTCTTCGTCCATTTTTCCGTAAAAAAACCCTCAAAGTACCTTCCGCCGCCACCTACTCTTTAAACCCTAACGGCGCCGCTAACCCTCATCCTTGTATAACATGGTCTTCATCCATTTCCTCCACAGCACCCCTAACATGTTGGACGAAATTCCTAAACGAAAACCATCAAAAAAATTTCAAAGCCACTTCCTTCTTTTCGTATCCAGTCATTGAAGCGGTCTTCCAAGCCTTTATCTCAAGGGCTTCAGAAGGATCCTAACAAGGATTTGTCACGCATTCTTCGAACTGAAGCGACTATCAAAGGTGTAGAAAACAAAGCCAAGTCATGGAAACATAAACCTTGCCGGAGAAAAGGACTACCAGATTCGTTTTCCATTTTCCGTCAGGTCGCCGCCTGACGTGTTTGGCTTCCACCACGGCTTCATGGTCTTGGTGACTCTGGTCCTGCTAATGAACCTATCAAAACCTTATTCACTTCTCCTCAATTCAGAAACACCAAATGGTCCTTCCCTTCCGCACCTCATGTACCAGTCACTTGCAACTATGGTTCTGTAATGCCTTCATGGTTTGACATTCACGAGATTCCTGTGACAGCTGATTCTCCAACGGACGAGACTGGTTTACTTAAAGCTGTTCAAAAAGTTCATGCTACAATTGACAAGGAAATAGCTGCCGGCACAAACCCTAACAATGTATTTATCTGTGGATTCAGTCAAGGAGGTACATTGACGTTGGCCAGTGTTCTGCTATACCCTAAAACTTTAGGTGGAGGTGCTGTCTTTAGTGGTTGGGTTCCATTTAATTCGTCTATTACTGAAAAAATTACCCCCGAGGCTAAGCAGACACCCATACTGTGGTCCTATGGGCTGGTTGACAAAACAGTACTGTTCGAGGCAAGACAAGCTGGTCCTCCGTTCCTTGAAAAACTTAGCGTCAGCTGTGAGTTTAAGGCTTATCCTGGTCTTGCCCACTCCATAAACAACGAGGAGCTGCAGGATCTCGAATCTTGGATCAAGGCACGCCTACAAAGTTCTTCTTAATTTTCAACCAGTATCTCTTACATTGTAACTCAATAATTTTAATACATGCTTGTGCTTAAAATGTTGTGTTTTGTCCGAATCCGCATCTTTTAGAACTAGAAAGGATTGCTGTTGAATTCTCATCTTCTAATACAACCCTGTTTGTTTGATTTTAAACTCCAAAATATGTTTTCCTAGTCTGTTTGGGTGTGTTTCCATTCAATACAGGTTTATGTGTTGCGGAAGCGATTGTAAAGCCGAGCTAGTTCCGACTGCACTATCATCTCGTCGGATGGCCGTATGCTTGCAGCTGGAAGCACGAGTATTCAAGAGTTGAGTCGAATACACCGTTACAACCATGATGACCTCTTCAACAACAACTTCTGCGGCAACTACGGCGAGCTGGTGTCGGTTTATGGAGATAGAGATGAGTTGAGGATTGATTAATAACTCAGTAGTTCCACAACAACAACGTGTCAAACACAGTAGTCTGATTTGTTCGCGAGAAGCGTTGCATCATTCTTGGTTTCGTTCTTCCTCTGCTTACAGCAGCAATAACTTACATCATCCTTCAACAAACAATATGACTCAGCAAGACAATAAAACTCTAAGTTGTAGCAATAGCAGTACACACATCATATAGCCGGCCGCGACATCAGGTTGATTTGGTCGCGACATCGCCATAACACGACATAACAAAACAGAGTCGCAACTTGCAGCTGCCGCCACTCACCAACAATTCTGCAGCAGCAACGCCAAATTGTTCTTCAAGCAGCATTCTCCAACAACAACAGCACAACGCATTCGATAACATGTTTCGGCGACAACGGTAACAAATACAGCCTCATTAATCTTCTATTTTTTTCTCTAATAGCTTGATTATACAAACAGATATTAATGCGATCATGTTGTGATAAACATTCGATATCGTTTAGATTATGCGAAAGCTTATGTGTGATGTTAACATTTTAAAGTTTCTTTATAGATTCTGCAAGTAATTAGGAAAGTTATGTGAATATTGTGTTTGCTACTCTGGTTTTCCTCCTAGCCGGTTTGAGCATAATTTCGAGGTCGTGGCATTCGTGTTGTTTTCTTATTTGTGTTGTTAGTTTCAATTCTCGATTGCATATAATTGCGTAAATTTGTTCTAGAATATTGCGAGCATGGTGAAGAATTTTTTAATGTGGTAACTTCATGCTGTTGTTGTTGTGTGCTTAAGTCGCATGTCTGAAATCGAGTATTATCCGCAACCTCAACACATAAGGTTTTCAGTTATAATTTTGTTTGTATTCCAGAATTTGGTTTGAGCGGTGTCGTTTACGTCGTGACTTATGGTAGCTATTGTATTAGAACATTGAGGGTTGAATTTTCTATTTCAAATTCTTTTCAGTTTTGTTCTCGCCTAATTAAAGTTTCAGTTTTGTCTCGCTTTAAAATTTTCGGTTATACTGTGCAAGTGTATATATTTCACTTGATGTGTGTTTAGAAGTATGTCTATAGATCTAAATAAGATATATGTATTTGGTTTTAGTTTTTTTTATATGAATATATTGCCATTTTTTAAAAAAAAAAATAATAAGTTTCTATATGGATTAGTTGGGGGTGATCAATTGGAAAGATGTTCTTTATTTCATTGCCTTTATTTCATTGCCTGTTCAGTTAACTTATTTGTGTTTACATGAGAAACTTGTTTTGAATAAGGGATGTTTGATGTGGCTCTTATGTCTTAATTAGCATGAAGGTTGTTCTAAAAATAAATTGATAATTTTTTGTTACTTCTTTATTCGTTAGGTTTTTATTCTTAAAAATATATATATATATATATATATATATATATATATATATATATATATATATATATATATATATATATATATATATATATATATATATATATATATATATATATATATATATATATATATATATATATATATATATATATATATATTTCAAAATTCTTATCAAATAATATTTTAAAAACTATACTTTATTATTAAGTTAAAACTTTTTTTAATATATTAAATTTTTCTCAAAACAATTAATTATGATTAGTTTTTTCTCAAAAACTTTTACAATTGATTAACTTATTTTATATGAAAGTGAAAACTATTTTTCTTAATTAAATTAAACAATTTTCTCAAACAAATTTTAAAAACAACTAAATTCTTGGATCTCGCCTTCCTTGAATTTTTTTAAGCGACCGCTCTCGAGGTGCACACCTCGAGTTGTGACCCTTTCGATTTTATTTTCTAGAATACCTAGCACGCCTAGTCCGAGTACGCTAATATTCCTAATTTATTTTCATAATTAAATCACGAAATAATCGAGTTCCTGGAGTCGCGCATTCCTCGAATTCGAGAGTGACTACTATTGAGGCGTACGCCTTGAATGGTGTGTCGTTCGAATTTTCGTCTCTAAAATACCTCCTTTAATTATTTGGACAAGTACTCTCACTGTCCAACAAACACTATTTTATAATTAATGGGATGAAAAATATTGTCGTTGGGATCTAGTATTCCAACGATATCCCGACTAATTGATTACGAGGTCGACGTCTCGTTTATCGAGTAGTCGTCATTCCTCATATTTTTTTAATCCACATAACCTCGTTTCTCACTCTCGTGTGATTGAATCAAAAATCTCTTTCAATTCAAACTCTTACGCGTCTAAACTATCCATCAAGCATATTTCGAATGAAAAAGGTATCGTTGGGATCGAGCATTCCAATGGTGTCCCGACTAATTGATTACGAGGCCGGCGTCTCGTTTATCAAGTAGTCGTCATTCCTCCTAAATATACAACCTCTTTAACCTCGTTCCTCACCTTCATACGGTCGAGTCTAAACCCTAGTATGTCTCTAAACCATACGTCAAATTCAAAACTATTTTGTTGATTGAAATTGTGAAAGAATTGAGTTCTTGGAGTCTCGCACTCCTTGAATTCTTGAGTAACCATTCTTAGGGCATACGCTTTAGGTTGTGGATTACTCGACCTTTCGTCTGTAAAACACGTGCCCTAACTATTTGGACAAATATCGTTATTGTCCATTCAAATACACTTTCACAATTAATTGAGTGAAAAAGGTATCATTGGGATACATCATTCCAATAATATCCCGATTAATCGATTGCGAGACTGACGTCTCGTTTATCGAGTGGTCGTCATTCTCCCTTAAAATATCCACTCCAACTCTCTGCTCTCGCCCCCGCGCGATTGAAACTTTCTCAAACATATTTCGAAGTTAGTCGAATGAAAAAGGTGTCTTTGGAATCTAGCATTCCAATAATGCCCCGATTAATTGATTGCGAGACTGACGTCTCGTTTATCAAATAGTCATCATCCTCCATCAAATTACCTGACCAAACTCCTCTTTTCTCGCCCCGCGCGATCGAAACCTTAAACCTATTCAAATATATCCTCTAACCAAAACATCCAATACGATAAACACAGATTCCTCGCCCTCGTGCGATCTCCAACTCATACACCTTTGACCAAGAACATTGTTTATTCCCTTCTTCCGCGCATAACAAACTTGTGCTTCAGCCTCCCCTAGCGAGTAGACAAGCCAACGTTTAGCAGTTAGAATGTGACCTAAACACTCGTTCATTTTCAAACCTTTTTACCGTAGTTAGCCGAACTACGACTGCTCTGATTTCTCACATCTATTGAGAATACGTAGGCATAGGATTGCGGTGATCCTAGCGAGCACTTTTCTTTCTTTCCCACCTTTAGGTTCCCATACCTTTTACCAAAGAACATTGTTTATTCCTTTCTTCCGCGCATAACGAACTAGTGCTTCAGCCTCCCCTAGCGAGCAGACAAGCCAACGTTTAGCAGTTAGAATGCGACCTAAACACTCGTTCGTTCCCATACCAAACCTTTTTACCGTAGTTAGCCGAACTACGGCTGCTCTGATTCTTCATTCCCTCTTGAATGTAAGATACGTAGGCACAAGATTGCGATGATCTTGGCGAGCACAATCCCCTCTTTTTCCCGTAGTCCCACGAACTACGAATGCTCTGATTTTTCCACTTCTTATAAGTGAAGATACGTAGGCACAAGGGCCCCAATCCTTGGCGAGCACCCTATCCTATAACCACCATTCCCCCCATAGGAGAAACCTTAGAAGAAAACAAACAAGCATAGCTAACTTTACTCTCGAATCGAATCAAGAGGTTCCCGTTGAGTACAACGGACGTAGAGGGTGCTAATACCTTCCCTCTGCGTAACCGACTCCCGAACCTAGAATATTGGTTGCGATGACCATGTTCTTATCTCCTTAAGGTTTTATCAATATTTTCCTATTCCATCCTTGGAATGAATAAAGTTCGGTGACGACTCTGTTTCGAACAGTATTTTCCGCGGCCATCGCGAGGATCGTATTTTTCGAGGTACGACAGATGGCGACTCTGCTGGGGACTATGCATTGACCTATGCAAGAGAGAGTCAAGCCTAACTTGACTCGATTCGAGAGTACTAACTTTTTGCTTAAATGTTTTCTTTATGCTTATTTTCTCCTATTGTTTATTTCTTGTTTTCTCTTTCTATCGTATGTTGTTTATTATATCTGCCTGCTGGATTCGGGGATAGCATTGCAAGTAAAGCTCTACACCCGAGCTTTGGAAAAAGAAGAGAGAAAACATAGTTTAGAATTGGTAGTGATTAGTGTTAGTTCCCAAGGACTCGCTCCTTGTGTGCCTAGCATGAAAGCTCCTCCAGAATAGACCTTTTCGTAGATCCTATCGTAACGCAGCTAGCCTGTTACACGATTTGATTCATGAAGGGTCCATGACTCTGGGAACCACTCGTAGAACCAGTTTCTATATTGGTAGTCGTGTAGTGTTAGCCTCCGAGGACCCGCTCCTCGTGTGCCTAGCATGAGGACTCCGCTCAGGAGAGACCTTATCGTACTCTCGTTATAATACAGTTAGCCTGTTGCGTAATGTTGATGCGATTGGTGTCCGTGATCTTGGGAACCTTATCCATCAACATAGAAGTTATCCCGTGAGTGGGTCTGT